CTCAGTTTTGTCTGTGTTTGTGGATAGATGACACAAGCTGGTGGAGACTCTTTAGAAAGAATGGAAGTATTCTTCCTTGAAAGACAGTGAAGGTTTTGGTGGTAAAATGATTCTTTCTATTCTTCTGTTAATGCTTCGTCCTCTTTCATCAAGCTGTTGAAGTTACTTAAGGTGCTATATTGAAAGGTAGTTACAACAGGGAAAAGACTGTGTAATCCTAGGGCTCTGACAGGGGATTTATTGATACAAAATGTTTAAAAATATGGACCTTTGATCAAATGTCAGCTTACCTCTGATAAGGAAATACTCTCTCTGCAGTGCTTTTGCTCCTGAATAATAATATTTTCCAAGTTCCTATAAATCAGATTGTCCTTTTTTTAGATACCTAATATCCTGAAGCTCTAGGACAATGAAATGGTTCCTAGGAAGTAGAAGTACATCCAGTAATCAAAGGAGTAAGATAGGTGATTGAGAAAGAACAGTATGTAAAGTTGAATGGTGGGTCATCTCATGTGCTGGTGTCATAAGTTTGGGAAAATGTGGCAGAGCTGTTTAAGACAGTAGGTAAATGTGTTTAAATCCTGCTAAGGGCACTTAAATTTTATCCCAGAGTGGCATGCAGGCAGTTTAAGTGATCTGTTATCCAAGTGACAGACATGGTTATTCATTGATTATAATGTGGGAGAGAAGTTGCAGGAAGGGAGGTACACAAAAAGGTTAGTTAGGAGTTATTTCAGTAGCTTCAGTAGGGCTTGCTGAAAATTTGAAAGGAGGGAGTATAGTGGAGAAGAAAGTCCCATCTTCTAAGCATCCTCTTCCCACCCTAGTCACTAAAGTATAAGTTCCATGAAGAAAACAGCTTTGTTTCCTTTCTGTCCTTACCTAGACAATGTCTTGGCATGGAACAAGCAATCAATTCAAATTATGTAATCAATATCTGCAGAATTTCATAACACTCAAGCAAATTATATTAATTATAAGGAGACATATTCCTTCCATAATAATTGTTTGGCTTAAATCAAAACTGTTTAATCTTTGATACATATTATAAGTGTTCAGTAGAATGTCTCTTCCAAGATGGAGTAGACACATCCCTCCCCATTATAACTAAAAAATACAGTGTATCTCAGAAAGGTATAGGAATAGCAAAGCAATGACTTCCTTGGGTTTCATTATTGCTTTCCACATATTTTAAATAGAATGCTGTAGGAACTTTCAACTTGGAATTGTCAATGAGCAGGGAACCCCCCAACCCAAAACAAAACAAAAAACTCCAACAATAGTTTCTGCTCTTACCCAAAAGATCAGTGCTATGGTTTGTGTCTGAATGTCCCCCCAAAGCCTCATGTAATCATGGAGGCAGGTTTCTAGTTTGTAAATGATTCATGTGTCTGATGCTGGGATTATGGGTGTGGCCTACATAGAGTATAAAGGATAGAGTTTTTCCTCTCATCCTTTTCTTTTGCTGTTAAACTATTGCCCTCTGCTATGTGCCACTCTGTCTTGGAGTCAGCTGATTGTAGACTGAAACCTCCACAAACTGTGAACTAAATACATTTTTCCTTCCTTAATTTTGGACATTGGATTTTTTTGTCTCAGCAACGAGAGGAATGAGAGAATAATGAACACAACCAGAAAGGCTAATTGATTAGAAATTATTTTTGGAAATATCACTTTGTCCCCATAGACCAGAGGGCATATCTTCCTTCCTTCCCAGGAAGAACCAAGTGGTAGTCTGATTCATCTGCCAGTGTAGTGTTGGGAGAGTCCAGCAGTGAGCTGAGACTCTAGTCTCACCCTGTAGCAGGGAGCCAGAAGGAAGTGGTGATGTAACATAAAATGGCTCCCCACCAGCCAATACACTTCAGTGTCTTAGTTGCCCTGGTAATAGCTCCTGTTCCAGTTCTGGTTGTTTCTGTCTCTTAGAAATGGCTGGTCACTGTGATGCATAGCTGATTATTATGATGAACATTGTATAAACCAATCCTCAACTAGCAAGCCATTTTGCCTCTGTATTTCCTGATTGCTATCCCATGTAAGCTTTTGACCACCAGAGATCAGGGCTTGATATTTTGGGAATGATCCTAACCATTTCCCATCAACGTACCTCTGCCTCCAAATCCTGGATGTTGTTTCAATGTTTCTGCTTGCTGTTGCAGTGAGAGTCAGAGTAGGTGTCATTGTTTCATCCCTTCTCTGGTATCAAATGTATTTAAGGAAGAACTAGGCCCCTGCACCCACTTGTAATGCCAGATGGAAGGTTTTCATTCTGCTTCTTGGAGTCAGCAGTACTTTTGGAGAGGTAAAAAGTGATACAAGTCACTGCATACCTTTGCTGGATTGGCTTGGGCTGTGATGTTGAAACTTTTACAGAACTGCAATCCGAAACCCACTCATTTATTACAAAATGCCAACACCAAAATTAAACTTAAATACTGAGATTTTAGTTTAGAAAAACGACTTTTATCTGATGCTCAGCTGCTGGGACAGTGTGGCTTATGTGCTGACAGAGAGGGCTCTGTGTGCCTGCTGCAGCACATATACCAGAGGTCCATCACCACTGGTCTGGAGGCAACTGAATACGTACAAACACCAACACTTTAATCTATGTCTCAGTAAGGGAACTAGCTACTGAAAATGACTATATTGGATCTGGAGTCTTATAATACCTGAAAAGCCCAGAATGTAAGTGAAAATCATTTGTCATTAAAAAGTTATAACAAATGAGAAAGAAAATCAACAGGCAATATCACAGAGATAAATCAAATGTTAGGATTATCTGATGAGAATTTTAAAGCAACCATCATAAAAAGTCCTTCAACAAGTAATTATGAATTCACTTGAAGAATTAAAACAAATGAAATCTATTTAGAAAAAATGAAAACAAAATCAACCAAGAGTTAGAAGGTACAAAAGATAACTAGTATATGTGTTGCCCTAGAGAAGTGAAGCACTATAAAGGATAATTAGGTAGAAATCACATAATTGAGAAATATAATAATTGAAATAAAGACCTTGTGGGGTGGGCTTTGCTGTAGACTGTGGACAGCAGTGGGCAGGAGTCATGAATGAAGGGAACAGCAATATGATTTACCAGATGTTAACAACAAAGAGAAAACAGTCTGAATAAAAAAGAACAAAGCCTAAAGGACAGAGGAGACAAATGAGTTAGTATTTGTTTCAAGAGTGTGTTACTTAGTTTTCTGTCACTATAATATCAGAGATAATCAACTTATAAAGAGAAAAAGTTATTTTGACTGATGGTTTCAGAAATTTCAGACTGTACGTGGTTGGCCCCATTGCACTTTGGACCTGTGGTGAAGCTGTACATCATGGAAAAAGCACACCGTGAAGGAATTCCTTTTACCTGTTAGCCAGAAATCCAAAGGGCAAGAGGAAGACAGTGGGCCCACAGCTGCCTCTAAAGGCTCACTTCCATGACCTAAGACTTCACACTAGGCTCAGTTGTCAACAGTTTCCACTGTCTTCCAGTAGCACCCATGTGAGGACTGAGCCTCACAAGGGCCTTTGGAGAATATTCCAGATCCAAAGTGTTACAAGAAATTTCCAAAAGGGAAAGAAAAATATAACACAATGTATCTATGCTTCACCTGAAGTGATAAAATGTTGATACCAACAGACAACAATATTGTGTATGTATTTGAGATGTCCAGAGAGCCATTATAAAAATGATAGAGAGCAACATACTCAAAATTATATAGAGAATAACATTTTAGTGCTCAAATAACATTCAGTTTCACAACAAGGAAACAGAGGCATTTAATCAGCAAATGAACAGAAAAGAAATAATAAAATAATAGACCAAGGCCTAGCATGTCAATAATTATTTCAAATGTTAGTGGTATAAGTAACCAATTTAAAAGAAAAATATTGGCAGAATGGATTAAAAACATATTCTGACAATATTCCAATTATGTTGATGCTGTTTAAAACACCAACAATATGGTGGTTTAAAGAAGCATATTCCAACAACATGTTTCAAATAAAAGTGTAGAGATAGGTGCAAAATAAAAGCATAGAAAAAGATATATCATCAATGAAAAAGATACATCATACAAAAATAATAATAAAAACATCTTTGCTAATATCAAATAAGAATCTGAGCATAGTGGCACACACATGTCTTTAATCCCAGTACTTTAGGAGGCTGAAGCAGGAGGGTTGCAGATTTGAGTTCAACCTGCACAATTTAATGATTTAGTGAGATCCTGTCTCAAAAAAAAAAAAAAAAGGATTGGGATTTTAGCTCAGTTCAAAAGCCCTTAGATCAATCCCTAGTACTGAAAAAAAATTGTCAAAAAATCCAAACTTCATGGGAAAGGAATTAGAAGGAAATAAAAACATTACAAAAGTATGGAAACAATCACAACACAGAGGAAAATATCATTCCTAAACATGTATGTACCAAATAATAAATACTCAAAGGGCATAAAGGAAAAAATATGAAGTGTAGAGCAATTGGAAAATCCACTATGATATTCTGGAGCTTTCCAGGCCATCTTCTAGAAATTAAAACTTTTAACCATCAGAAAGGATATAGAAAAACTGAATAACACAAGCAATCAATCTAAGTGATATCCAGAACATGCTGCTGGTAAGCAGCAGAATATACATCTATGATAATACAAAAAAAGGCTTGTTGGATTTAAAGAAGTCAAAATCATACAGATTATGTTCCCTGGGCATAATAAATCAGAATAAAAACCAATAACAGAAAGGCAGCAAAGAGTCAGAAATTAAATAATAATCTAATTTATGTATTATTTAGACATCTTGGAACTCAAAGAACACATATAATTGAATAATTAAAATGAGAATATACCACTAAAATATATATGACATGGCTACAACAGTGTAAGAAAGAAAATTTATGATATTGTCTTATATAAAAAGAAAGATCTCAAATAATTTGGGTTTCTATCCTAAGACCTTATGTCGATGTCCGCTCCCGGCCGGCAGGAAAGACACACGACAAGGTCTGGCGGTGGTCAGGCTTTTCTTTATTCTCTCCTTATACAGTCTGCCCCGAAGCCTCTACCGGTCCGCTCTCCGCGGCTCCTTCCGTGCTTCAGTCTGCCCCGAAGCCTCTACCGGTCCGCTCCCCGCGGCTCCTTTTGTGCTTCAGTCTCTCTCTCTCTCGGGGGTGGAGGCACTGGCTATATATAGGATTAATAGCTAGGCAGACTACCCTGTGAGGCGGGAACTTAGTGGGGTGATAAGAAACAGGTGCCACACAGGCGGGCTCGATGAGAGGGGTAATCTAGCCCAGGCTTTTGTACTTTCCCACAGGCCTCGCAATCACCGCGTCTGATGACTTGACAGTGCCACGGCTCCCAACATCTCCCCCTATTTTATTTTAAATGATGGCTACGCGCATCGCAGCCCGTCCTGGATAGAGTGCAGAGGCCTATGCCCCGAACTGAGGCCCACCGTAGGCCCTTAGTGTAGACCCTGGTCGGCCGTCCCAGGGTCCACCAAGGCCCTGAGGCCCTCGTCCTTTTTTCTAGGGCCAGGAATGAACCGGACGGAACCTGGTTGCACATAGGCATGCACTCATTTCTCTCCACGAATCCCCTTGGAGAGAAATTTATCTAACAATCCAGCGGCTTTCGAGCGGAACGGGGTAGGGCCTGGCTTAGGTTGAGTCGTGCTGGGGAGGCACGCTCTTACCCGTCATTGACTCACCCACCCTGCTACATGTTGTTGTCTAGGGAGGAGAATGTGGGAAGCCTGTCACTTTTAAACGCGGTCGTAGGCCATGCGAGCGAGCCATGCGTATACAAGGGTAGCACATAGGGGAGCAAGCCTTTCCAGGCCCCCAAAAAGGGATTGTCCTGCAGTTCTTTTAGGGCTCATCTTGTTGTTGGGTCTGCGGTTGGCCTCTGGTGGAACAGGCCTGATCTTCAGTCGAGGGACTTGTCGCGTCAACCTCTCTGGGACCCACATTGGCTCTCGTCCCGATTCCTGCGGAAAGACACAAACCGCGCCTCGGCTTCCTCTTTTGTATCTCTGCCCTCCTTGACGGACCCTTCTCGGGAGCTTCCTCACTGTGCCTGTTCAAACACCTCGCGTACTTCTACAAGTTCTTGAGAGCTCCCCCCGTAACTACCCTCACTCTTTAGGCACGCGTGTATCATTTCCCACAATGGACGAGCAGAGACTGAAGCTCTACCCTCCCGCTCTGCTAGGGAAAGGTCTCTGCCCAACTTTTCCCAGGAGGGCAGGTTTACATGCCCTGTAGGCAGAAACCAGGGAGCAAAGCTGTCAATCTCTGCAAGGAAATTTTCTAAAGTCTTACGCCCCACCTTGAGGTCCTTGGACTTTAGGAGTCTCCGAAGGACCAACACCAAGGCTGTGTATCTTTACTTGGCATGTTTCCCATTTTTAATATATCTTCTGTTATTTTTACTTCTATGTTTATGTTTTACACTCTTTTATTACCTTAAGTTCTGGTGTTATGTTTCATACTCACCGCGTGAGGCCCAAGAAACCCGCCACTTACGCGTGAGGTTGAGAGGAGTCTACAAACCCTGTAGGTGCGCGCCACCCAGGGCCCAGGCTTATCCTCTACTCACCTGTCCTGCAGCTGCAGCACTGTGTAGGAGAATGCAGTCCACCGCCGCGTCTCGGGGTTGATCAATCCCCGTGCGGGCCACCAAATGTCGATGTCCGCTCCCGGCCGGCAGGAAAGACACACGACAAGGTCTGGCGGTGGTCAGGCTTTTCTTTATTCTCTCCTTATACAGTCTGCCCCGAAGCCTCTACCGGTCCGCTCTCCGCGGCTCCTTCCGTGCTTCAGTCTGCCCCGAAGCCTCTACCGGTCCGCTCCCCGCGGCTCCTTTTGTGCTTCAGTCTCTCTCTCTCTCGGGGGTGGAGGCACTGGCTATATATAGGATTAATAGCTAGGCAGACTACCCTGTGAGGCGGGAACTTAGTGGGGTGATAAGAAACAGGTGCCACACAGGCGGGCTCGATGAGAGGGGTAATCTAGCCCAGGCTTTTGTACTTTCCCACAGGCCTCGCAATCACCGCGTCTGATGACTTGACAGTGCCACGGCTCCCAACAACCTTAGAATATGCAGAGCAAACAGAAGAAAGTAAACAGTAATGACAAAGATTAAAGTGAATGAGATAAACAAAAGAAACAATATAAAAATTGCTGGGAAAAAGAGGCACTTCTAAAAAATCAGTAAACTTAGTAGACTGCTATTAGACTAACAAATGTAAAAAGAGTAAAGACATTCATCACCAATATCATGAATAAAGCAGACAGTGTCACTACAGACACTACAGTCATTTAATGATAAAATGATAATAAGGCAATTCTATAACCAACTTTACACTCATAAATTTGACAACAGAAGAAAAGGGTCCAATTTCTCAAAAATCATAAAATACTAACACTCAAACAAGATAAGGTAGATAATCTGGTAGTTCTATAATAGTTAAAGACATTTAAAATTTAAAAGCTCTTGAAAAGAAAATTTTTAATCCTACACAGAAGAAATTCTATCAAACATATCATGAAGTGGTAACATCAGTGTTGTACAATCTCTGCAAAACTCATTTGCACCAAAATCAGCCAAAGACAATATAAAAAAGAATAAAGAATAATATTAATTAAAAGAGTAATAAACTTAGTTATGAAAATTTTCGACACAATATTAGCAAACTGAATCCTAAGACACAAAAAGGAATTATATGCCTTGAATAAGTAATATACTCCAGTTATATAAGAATATTTCAATGTTTTAAAATCAGTCAGTAGAATCCACATTATTAATCAACTAAGGGCGAAAAACCAATTGATATAAGCAATCATTATAGCAGAAACATTTGACAAAGTCCAATACTTATTCATGGTAAAAACTCTCAGAAAAAATAGGGGAAGAAAGAAACATTCTCATCTTGCTGAAGAGCATATACCAAAAATTACAACAATCATCATACTGGATGGTACCAGGCTGAAGATTTTTCCATTAAGGATGAAAACAAGGAAAAGTAGCCCTCACTATCCTTAATTAACACAGCACTGGCAATTGTAGACACTTCAATAATGCAAGGAAAAGAGATAAATGATATGTGGAATTGAAAGAAACAAAATAAAATGCTCTGTATGGAAATGAGATGATTGTCTACCTTAAAACTTCAGACATCTATAAACAACAACAAATTTAGAACTAGTAGTTGAGTTCAGCAAAGTCGCAGAATAAAAGACAGCAACACACACACACACACAAAAACATGGAAATGTGACATTTTGTGTGTGATTATCTTATTAAGTCTAACAATGATTATGTGGAAGCTGAAATTAAAACATTATACCATGTATAGTCACTTTAAATAAAATTAATAGTTATAAACTTAAAAATGTACAGATTCTGCCTGCTCTAAATTACAAAATATTCATGAAGGACATCAAAGAAGACATAAATAAATAAGGAAACATATTGTGCTTGTAGTAAAAGATTCAACCTGTTAAGATGTCATTTCTCCCCTGAAGTCATATATGGGTTTAATGCATTTTTCTGTCAAAATCCCAGCAGGGATTTTTCAGGGACAAATTTATTCTAAAATTTCTAGGGAAAGATAAGTCCCTAGAATAGATAAAACAATTTTGACAAAGAAGATTAAAGTAAGGGGAACCACTTTAAGGGTGTTAGGGCTTGTTATGTAGTTATAGTAATTTAGACAATAGTATTGGTGGAAGAATAGATGCATAGATCAGTAAAACAGAACAGAGAACCCAGAAATAGACCACACAAATATACGCAGTTGATTTTTAACAAGGTACAAAAGTGATTTAATGGAGAAAGGATGAGCTTCTCTATAGATCGTGCTGTACACGTGGATATCCACAGGTAAGAAAAATTAAGTTTGATCTAAACCTCACACTTACTGAAGAAATAAACTCACAATGTATATGGACTTAAATGTGACACATAAAGTTGCAAAAATTTTACATAAGAAAGAGATTACTGGTGGGGCGTTGGTGATATGTACAAGGGGTTCTGAGGGATCTTGGGCTAGGGAAAGGGTTATTCAGATTTGAAATGAAAGCCATGATTATAAAAGAAAAAGTAAAGAACTGAACTTATCAAAAGAAATAACATGCTCTGTGAAAGACTCTGTTAAGAAAATGAAAAAGCTACAATCAGAAGGAAAAATATTTTAAGGCAAATATTCAGCAAAAGCCCTTTCCAATGCAAACATTAAAAAAAAAAACATGAACTTTTCGATTAGAAAATGAATAAAGAACTAAAATGATATACAGATAGCAAATAAGCATATCAAAAGATGCTTACCATCATTAGCTGTTAGGTAAATACAAATTTAAACTAGAATGAGATAGAGAATAGTTAAAATAAGAAATAATGGCAGCAACAGCAAATGTTCAAACAGATAAGCAGACACAGCAGAACCATACATTACTAGTGGGAATATAAAATACTAAGTTCATTCTATAAAACTGTTTGGCAGATTCTTACAACGCTAAAGTTACCACTAGCACGTGGTCTCAGAAATGTACTTTGGGGGACTTAATCTTAAATAGATGAAGACTTACTTTTACAAAAATGTATTCACAAATGTTCAGAGTAACTTTATTTATAGTAGCTGAAAATGTGAAATCACTTCAATGTCTGTCAGCAGATGAATAATTAAAGCCAAGAAGCACTATTAAGCACGAAAAAGGAGCAGGAGCAGAGGCTTCTCTTTATTTTTATTAGTAAACAACAATTTAGATAAATCTCCAGCACTTTTTACTATGAGTGTAAAAACTAATCTTAAGTTTTTACATGTGATAATTCTATTTTCACAATAGCCTTGAAATTAAAATCTCTAAAAATGGGCAACAGGTTAATGATAATCAAAGGCTACTGAAGAGGTAGGAGAAAAGTGAATGTGTCAATAAAAGTGTAATGTGACAGATCTTTGTGGTGACTGGACTCTATACCTTGGCTTTATCAATCTCAGTGCCATATTATAATATAGTACTATAGTTTCACAAGACATTATTATCTGGAAAAATTGGAAAAATAATATATGGGATCTCTATTTACACGACTCCATACAAATCTGTAATTATCTCAAAGTAAGAAGTTTAATAATAAGAAAAATCCAAGAAACTTAGAAAGATGTTGATCTTCCAACATATCTTCTCTAAGATTTTTGTGTGCTTCATTTGGAGGTGGATCTGTACCACTCTATTTTTGAAGTTTCCCATGTGAACCTAGTGTTTGGTCAGGGTTGAGAACCAATCCCTTGAATTATGAACTAGCTCAGGTGATGTAGCTGGGAGTACATCTAGTCTCAAGTTGACATTCTTTCTTCTTCTAGTTATGTCACTTTTCTTTGGGAAATTTTCCCAGTACAGAGACTGTGTCTGAGTCACTGGTACAGCATCTCACTCTGAGCAGAGGCATTTGCTCTTTTTGAGGCTGCTTCAGAATGATAGTAATGCTTCTGGTGGTGACAAAGGAAGTCATTGATCTAGTAGAATTCTGATTTTAGTCTCCAAGTTTCAAAACAGAAGACTGAAATGATAAAATTTCCATGATTATTTTCACACTGGATATGCAGAGAATTTGAGAATGGGGAGGGGATAGATATGCATGGTGCCTTCTTTTCTTGCATAAATCTTAGCTACTGGCTTATGCATTCTGAACATATGTTTGGTAACAGTTATGAGTTGAGCATATGTTGTTTTAGGAGATTATTTAAATCTTACTCTAAATCCAAAGAAATCTTATATGAATATAAAGAGACCTATAAAGCACTGAGGAACCAGAAGTAGTGTCATGAATTATAGCCCATTTTTTCCCTTGATGTCACTGAACCAAGTGCAGGTTTACTAAATTTAACATTTGTCATCTTTGTTGGCTCAGGACTCTTTATTTTAGTTTATTTTATTTCAAAGGGGAAAAAAAAACCTAGAAAAATCAAGAAACAAATGACCCCCCCCCAAAACCAACAGCAAAAGAAAACAACAACAACAAAAAAACAACAACAAACAGCAATCACTAGATACATTTTCAAAACAAAATGATAAGAATTCAATGGTCGATCTGCGCCCAGACTGCTGGAGTTCCCTCAGGCTTCCAGGTGCAGTGAAGGAGAGAGGTGGGTTTGAGGCTTCCACATCAGCCTCCCCATTCCCGGCTTCATTTGGAGACCTGCTGAGCTCCCGATAGGTGGGCTGGCCCACACTACCAGCCTAGCCCAGCCTGTTTAGCTTCCGTGCCTGGCCATAGGTCTGCAGAGGAGGAGCTGGGCAGATCTGGGGTGCCCTCACTGGCCTCTCTGCGTGTCTGGAGGACTCTGGATATCTGCGTCCAGACTGCTGGAGTTCCCTCAGGCTTCCAGGTGCAGTGAAGGAGAGAGGTGGGTTTGAGGCTTCCACATCAGCCTCCCCATTCCCGGCTTCATTTGGAGACCTGCTGAGCTCCCGATAGGTGGGCTGGCCCACACTACCAGCCTAGCCCAGCCTGTTTAGCTGCTGGGCCTGGCCATAGGGCTGCAGAGGAGGAGCTGGGCAGATCTGGGGTGCCCTCACTGGCCTCTCTGCGTGTCTGGAGGACTCTGGATATCTGCGCCCAGACTGTGGGAGTTCCCTCAGGCTTCCAGGTGCAGTGAAGGAGAGAGGTGGGTTTGAGGCTTCCACATCAGCCTCCCCATTCCCGGCTTCATTTGGAGACCTGCTGAGCTCCGGATAGGTGGGCTGGCCCACACTACCAGCCTAGCCCAGCCTGTTTAGCTGCCGTGCCTGGCCATAGGTCTGCAGAGGAGGAGCTGGGCAGATCTGGGGTGCCCTCACTGGCCTCTCTGCGTGTCTGGAGGACTCTGGATATCTGCGCCCAGACTGCTGGAGTTCCCTCAGGCTTCCAGGTGCAGTGAAGGAGAGAGGTGGGTTTGAGGCTTCCACATCAGCCTCCCCATTCCCGGCTTCATTTGGAGACCTGCTGAGCTCCCGATAGGTGGGCTGGCCCACACTACCAGCCTAGCCCAGCCTGTTTAGCTGTGGCGCCTGGCCATTGGTCTACAGAGGAGGAGCTGGGCAGA